TGTCCTCCCGGCACTCTGGGAGGCCGAGGCGGGAGGATCGCTCGAGGTCAGGAGTTCGAGACCAGCCTGAGCAAGAGGCGGACCTCTGTCTCTACTAAAAATACAAAGAAATTAATTGGCCAACTAAAAAAAATATATGATATATATAAAATGAGCCGGGCACGGTGGCGCATGCCTGTAGTCCCAGCTACTCGGGAGGCCTGAGGCAGGCGAATGGCTTGAGCCCAGGAGTTGGAGGTTGCTGTGAGCGAGGCTGACGCCACAGCACTCTAGCCCAGGCGAGAGAGTGAGACTCTGTCTCAGAAAAAAAAAAATGAGAGAGACAGAGACAAGCAATCTCAGTGAGAAGAGAGAGGAACCCAATGATTTCAATTAATTAATGAGGAATTTGGGTCCTCTAAAACCATTTTGCTTGGATTCCCTCCCTACGTGCCATGAGCAATGAAAACTCACAGAAACTAACTGTTCCCAATATAGGTCTAGACTGTGCAAAAATAAAGACTTCTGTCGCGTCCCCTGGATAAAAATCTAATAAGTCAAAACCTAAGTAGGACGGGCGCGGGGCCTCACGCCCTCTCATACCTAACAACTCTGGAGGAGGCTGAGCCAGAGGTCGCGTTGAGGTCGAGGGAATTTGCGAAACAGCCTGAGCAAGGTGAGACACCCGTTCCTAGTAAAAATACAAAGAATTAGGCCAGACAACTATAAAATATATAGGAAAAATTAGCTCTGGCATCGTGGTGCATGCCTGTATCCCAGCTACTCAGGAGGCTGAAGTTGAAGAATCGCTGGAGCCCAGGGGTTCAAGGCTGCATGAGGCCATGATCTTGCCATTCATACTCAACATGAACCACACCTTTGTCCTCCAAATAAATAAACACACAGGCTAATGTTTATGGTTTTAGGTTTGGGATTTTTTTTTTGAGGGGGGCGGTGTTTGTTTTTGCCCACACTCAAAGCGAAACCTAAACACCTTAACCTTTGCACTCCGGATGTCGAGAGTGACTCGACACGCTTAGCAAAATTATAGAGATTAAAATTACTCTTTGAAATGTATCATAATTTGAATATTAAAAAATCCAAAATAAATAAGTTGGTATGAAAAAGAAACTCCAGCTTTTTATTCTACTGTCGCCGCTTTGTAAATCTGGGGTATTTAAAAAATTAATCCTGAGTAGAATAACAAGGAATCGAGAAAAAGCAAGCGAGTGCATAAGGTTAAGAATTAGAGCAGTAAAGTAAGTTCTTGAACGATCTTAGGTTTATCTTTTTACGAGCCTAGTCTAATGTGGTTTAGCCTTACTTCCCTTCACCAATCTCCACAAAAGGTTTAAATGTGTCCAGAGGATAACCAAGGAATGTCCCACTGATTCTCTTTGCTCTGTACGTCACCATAATGCACTCAAAGAGGCTTACTCAATATCCAAGCAGCTGGCCCACTATTTAAGCAGCTGCAGCGTTTCATTATTTAGCAACTACAGGGATTTCTTTTTTTCTCACATCTAGGAGCAGGAGGGAAAATACACAGTTCTGTATTCAATAAATCACTGGGAGAGCAGACAGCACTTCTAAAACTCTTCACAGGGCCAGAGGAAGAATGCAAGCTCAGTTGCCCATATCATTTAACAGCAGACTTTCGAGAAAAGAGATCTGCAAAGAGGAGCCAGACCTCTCAGCCCCTAAACACTTGATGTGGTGGATTACCTCTCCGCCTTTCTCAGCTCTTCTGCATCCCATAAAGTATAACAACTTCATATTTCGCTTAAGCATCTTTCAAAAGACAGGGTACTGCTGTGGCATTTAGTTGACAAAAGATTATTCCAGAAATATTAGGCACACGACACCAACACACCACACACAAAAATGAATAGAAAGTGACAAAGAACACTGTTTGAAAAAAAGAAAAGGCTTAAAATATATGCAATTATAAGAGTAGCCTTAATGCTACCTTAGTCTGGAAAGATGCTCGAATCACTAGAATATCAGACAAATGCAAACTAACACCACAATGAGAAACTACAATGAGATACCATAAGACTGATAAAATTTGAAATCTGATAATTCACAGTATTGTGGAGCAATGGGAATGTGATTAGCCAACACAACCAAACAACTGGCACAAATCTAGTGAATTTCAGAGATCACGGGCCCATGATGCAGGAATCCACCCCCACATTGAATAGAGAAGATCCGCTTTTGATTATCCATTCTTTTCTTTCTTTTTTTTTTTTTTTTTGAGACAGACTCTCCGCACCAGGGCTTGAGTGCAGGGGAAGACATCATCATCAAGCTCACAGTACACTCCACTCCTGGGCTCAAGCGATCCTCACTGCCTCATGCCTCTCCGAGTAGCTGGGACTTAACAGGGCATTGCGCCACCCCTGCCCGGCTAATTGTTTCTGTATACTTTTTTAGTTGGCCAATTAATTCTGTTATTTTTAGTAGAAACGCTCTTGCTCAGGCTCGCAGTTTCAAACTCCTGACTTGAGTGATCCTCTCTACCTCAGTCTCCCAGAGTGTTAGAATTGACAGCGTGAGCCACCGGCGCCCGGCCCTATAGATCTGGTTTTTAATAATTGCAGAAATACAGAAAAGTTGCAACAATAGGTGCCTATTCCACACCAGATTTTGCCAATTCCACATTGCTGCTGCATCTGCTTTACTGGTTCTAGTCTTTATGTGAATAAAAAGACTTTTTTTCTGGACCAACTTGGAATGATTTGTATAGACATGGTCCCTTTAACACTCCACAAAAGGTTTAATTAGTGTCAGAGGATGAACCAAGAGAATGTCCCCACTGATTCTCTCTTGCTCTGTACGCACCATAATGCCACTCAAAGAGGCTTACTCAATACCCAAGCACTGGCCACTATTTAGCAGTGCAAGCGTTTCATTATTTAGCAATACAGGGATTTTTTTTTTTAAATCTAGAGCAGGAGGGAAGAATAAGTTATTCACTAAATCTCTAAATGAAATACACTGGGGAGAGCAGACAGCACTTCTAAAAATAAACCTTCACAAGGGCCAGAGGCAAGAATGCAAGCTCAAGTTGCCCCATATC